AAGGCACTAAATGTTATAGTATGGCATAAAACATCAAAAAAACATAGTATATTAAGGCATAAAAGGTCATAAAAACATCGTACTATGGCAAGGGATACAACGACATAGTAAAGTAAGGTCTAAAAATACCAAAACACGTCATAGTATAATATGGCATAAAAATGCCAAAAAATGTCATAGTATAGTATGGCATAAAACGTCAGAAAAACATCATAGTATATTAAGGCATAAAATGTCATAAAAACATCATACTATGGCAAGGGATACAACGATATAGTAAAGTGAGGTCTAAAAATACCAAAAAACGTCATAGTACAGTATGGCAACATAGTATAGTAAGGCCAAAAAATGTCAAAAAACGTCATAGTATATTAAGGCATAAAACATCATAGTATAGTAAGGCTTAAAAATATCAAAAACGACACAGTGCAGTAAGGCATAAAAATTTCAAAAAACCACATATTATAGTAAGGCATAAACCGACACAGTATAGTAAGTCATAAAAATGTCTATAAACCACATTGTCTATAGTAATGCATCAAAATGTCAAAATACATGCCTATGACAAGGCATAAAAATGCCAAAAAACGTCATAGTATAGTATGGCATAAAATGTCAAAAAAAACATCATAGTATATTAAGGCATAAAAGGTCATAAAAACGTCATAGTATGGTAAGGGATACAATGATATAGTAAAGTAAGGTCTGAAAATCCCAAAAAACGTCATAGTATAGTATGGCATAAAATGTCAAAAAAAACATCATAGTATATTAAGGCATAAAAGGTCATAAAAACGTCATAGTATGGTAAGGGATACAATGATATAGTAAAGTAAGGTCTGAAAATACCAAAAAACGTCATAGTACAGTATGGCATAAAATATCAGAAAAACATCATAGTTTATTAAGGCATAAAACGACATAGTATAGTGAGGCAAAAAAATGTCAAGAAACGTCAAAGTAAATTAAGGTACTAAATGTTATAGTGAGACATAAAAATGTCAAAAAACGTCACAGTATAGTAAGGCATAAAACGACATAGTATAGTAAGGCACTAAATGTTATAGTATGGCATAAAACATCAAAAAAACATAGTATATTAAGGCATAAAAGGTCATAAAAACATCGTACTATGGCAAGGGATACAACGACATAGTAAAGTAAGGCTTAAAAATGTCAAAAAACATTATAGTATAATTTGGCATATAAATGCCAAAAAACGGCATAGTATAGTATGTCATAAAACGTCAGGAAAACATCGTAGTATATTAAGGCATAAAAGGTCATAAAAACGTCATAGTATGGTAAGGAATACAACGATATAGTAAAGTGAGGTCTAAAAATACCAAAAAACGTCATAGTACAGTATGGCAACATAGTATAGTAAGGCCAAAAAATGTCAAAAAACGTCATAGTATATTAAGGCATAAAACATCATAGTATAGTAAGGCTTAAAAATATCAAAAACGACACAGTGCAGTAAGGCATAAAACGTCATTGTATAGTAAGGCGTAAAAAAAACATCATAGTATATAATATGGCATAAAATGTCAAAATAACAACATAGTATATTAAGGCATAAAACTGTCAAAAAACATCACAGTATAGTAAGGCACTAAATGATATAGTAAGGCACAAAAATGTCAAAAAACGACAGTATAGTAAGGCATAAAACTTCATAGTATCGTAAGGCACTAAATGTCATAGTATAGTAAGGCATAAAAATGTCAAAAACGTCACAGTATAGTAAGGCATAAAACGTCATAGTATACTAAAGCATAAAACGTAATAATATACTAAGGCACTAAATGTTATACTATTGTAAGGCATGATAATGTCAAACACAGTTATTGTGTAGTAAGGCATAAAACGTCATAGTATAGTAAAGCTTAAAAATGTCAAAACGACACAGTATAGTAAGGCATAACACATCATAGTATAGTAAGGCTTAAAAATGTCAAAAAATACATAGTATAGGAAGGCATAAAATGACACTATCGTAATTAAAATGTAAAAAAATGTCATATTATAGTAAAGCACTAAATGTTATAGTAAGGCATACAAATGTGAAAAGACATCATAGTATAGTAAGGCTTAAAAACATGTATAGAATGCTTACTGACAAAGGCTCCATAATGGTCTAAGAAAACGATTGAATTAATGCAGATTTAAGTAAATCAGATTTTGCAGAATGTGATCCACTGTGCTGCAGAGGGACTTGATCTTTTCAACCAATGTTGTTTGTTCTGGGTAAATATACTAATGTACTAAATATATTAAATTAACCATTGCTAAATTACATAAACCTTTTCCCCTTAAAATAGCACAATTATTAATTCCTGTAGGGAAATTGGCTACAAATTATTAACACCTGTTGAGCTGAAAGGGTTTTGCTTAATGGCATTTTAAGTAGAGGAAACAGCGTCATCGGCCTGTTTCCTCCTCTTGAAGGACATTGTCTCTCTCTGTGTTACCTTGCTGCTCTAAAAACATCCTGTTGTTAGGGCTTGACAAAGCTGAGCATTGGGCTTTCTAGTTTTGGTTAAAAAATCTTTGTTGGGAAGAGATTTGTTAGTATTTATTATTAGAAGATTAAGACTGAATAACAAAATCACGTTTACATCCCGCTGCAATTGACTCCTATGTAGGCTAAGACATGATGTTTGTTTAGATGGTGATGCACTATAGCAGAGGTCAAACATCAGGTCTAGTAAGATAAACAGCTGACAGCTTTACAACACATACAAAATGTGCTGAAGCCAAATAGAAGACGTCAGTCTGGACTGTTTACATTGTATCATGAAATACACGTACATTATCAGCAGATGTGATTTAGATTAAAGCTCAGATCCTCTGCAATACAGGGTTAGAACAGGGGGATGGAGTAAGAAGAACAAAGATTGTGGAAGACGGTAATCAGTTAAATGATAAGATCAGAGCATAAACTCAATAATTAGTCTTGTCTGATGCAGATTTTCTACCCGTTTTCCTCTGCTTTGAGCTTGAAATGTTTATTTACTTCCAGCCCTCCTTTGGTCCCCATGCAGCCCCCTTTTTTCTTTTTACAGGCCCATGAGATTGTTCCATCATTTCACAGCAAGATACAGGTCTAAAATAACAATGTTTTTACACACAGCATGATGGTTTACAGTAAAGGGTGAGGTAGTCACTGACATATTTGTATATGGACTTGTATTTTAATAGATGTGTATCGTTTCATTGTCAGCATTACAACGTTACAGTCTTTGACTTTGTGCTGCTGTTATGTCAGTGCTGACAGAACAGTTCACATGGACACTCCTTTGGGAAACTTGTCATTACAGATGAAATAGTTACTATTTGGTCTTTCATCTCATGCTTTACAAGAGCAGCATAAACAAACTTCAAAGTTTTGTCCATCATGATTACACCATGTGGTGGTGATTGGACCGCTGAAGTATTTTGTCTTTGCATAGGAAAGTGTGCTGATCCTCTCATCACCTGACTGCAGCAGGGTGGATAGACAGACGGATGGAGGTTGTCTTCCTGTGTGGTTTGAAGCAGGATTTCCTTCAGTCTGTCCATTAATGCTCTGTCCCTCTGCTGACCTTGGTCCCTAACTTGACCTGAGGACTTGCTAATTCTCAGTCACTCTGTCTGGGAACTCTGAAGAGTTTTATAAAAGCAGGGTCACTGACCGCTCTCAAGACCGCTCTCCTTAGAAAATTGCACCCTTCTTTAAAGATTAGTCTTATCTTATTGAAACTAAATTAAACATTTATGATCCTAGAAATGTATTATTTTATTGGAATACAGTAAAATGAGCTTTCATTTGATCCAGTAAAACAATTTCTTACAAAATAACGAGACATTAATGCTTGGTCTTCAGAAACATGGATGAACAATTGTATCGACTGCCTTTGTTTTACAAGGGGAGTAACTGTTAAAGAAAAGCTGAGAGTTTGGATATAAATATTGACAAACTAAGTTTATACCCAGAGGCACAGGATGATTAGTTTGAACTAAGCAATGAATGATTAGCTTCTCACTCACTAATCTGTGGCAAGTGAAGTTTGTCATTACTTAAAACAAGCTTTAATGAAATGCTTTTTGTGTAAGGTTTAAATGTCTTTTTTGACTCTATTGAATTCTCACAAAGGAAACTGAAGTCTGGGCAGTCTTGTTACTGCTCCCTGCTATTTCCTGCTCTGCTATCTGTGAAGTTTTGCCGCTTGTACAATCTCCTTCCTTAGTTTACCCTGGATGCTGATGTCCAAATGGAAACTTTTCTATCGACTCAACCCTTATTTTCTCACGCGCATATCTAACAATAGCAAATTCAGTGTAGAGGATATGAGTGACAAAGCTGTGCCAAATATTGTCACAGCCGAGGGATATGACTTGCTACTGTAGCAGTAGAGGTTAAATAGATGCAAGGTGTAAGTTCATCATGCAGTACCATCAGGAAGGTGTCTGATCTGTCCCAAATTAATTTGACAGTGTGTCAGTGACACGAACTCAGCATCATGGAGTCAGTCTAGGATTACATCAATAGGCAGAAGCCTAAATCCACACAAGTGTATCTTGGAGATTTCGTGATGTTTCAAGGCAAACGGTGGTTAAACCAAATTTTGATCGAGTTTTTTTCTAGTTATTGCACTTTGTATGATGTTCATTGATAAATAAGAACTATTCATTATACCACACTTTCAGTGTCAGAAACGTCTGCACAGTATGTGTATATAGAGTGCATCCAGAAGGTTTTCAGACCCCTTCACTTCTTTGTATGTTGCAGTTTTATGTTCAAATCATTACACCTAGGCCCTAACATATATGAGATAAGAGCTGGTAGACCTTTGTTATGCTTTTCTTGGTGTGTTGAGTTCAGTTGTTGCTTTGATAGAGGGCTGCTGATTTGAGGTCTAGAGGTGGATTTTATCTACTAGTCTTACTGGCAGATGAGATGGAGCAGGCCAACAGAAGAAATTCAGATGAATCCACTCACTTCTGGATTTATCAAAAAGCGTTTATTAATAGTCATAGTAATGTCACACAAATTCACAAGTGTTTAAGACATGTCTGGCTCAGTTTGGTGTGTGTGTGTGTCTGCAAGTATGTCTGTGTGAATTCTCTAAACAGTGCAGTTATAAATAAATGACCACAAAGAGAAGGAAAAGGTTAAGGTAATATTGCAACAGGAAAAATAGAATTCTCATTTTAAGAAGACAAACAGAAAAAAGGTTGTTCAAAGAGAACATTTAGCACCATCTATCCCGTTATCATATTCAACAGATAATATCATAAAATCATTAAAATCTTGTCTAAAAGCCCCCTACATAATAAAAAAAATTACCGTTTCTCAAAACACTTTGGAAAAAGTAGTTTTGTTTTTTCCTTAATGAGCATACAAACACAGCATTCCATTAGTCATCTTCTCTACGTGAGCAGTGTGCCTATCTTCTACAGGAAAGGTGGCGTTATATTCAAGATAAAGATATCATTTAATATATATCAGGAGAAAAATGCAGGAGTCGTGGGAGGCAAGCACCAGAGAAACAGCAGCCTCCACTCCCGCGGACACACAACCCCAACATTTCAGTTCTTACAGAGCAATCGGTCACCATAAAAAATAAAATAAAAAAAATCGCAAACTTGTACAACCCTATTAAAAAAAGAGAGAACATTGATATCCAATAAATAGAGGAAACTTTTTAAATTAAATGTACAATGCCAAAAAAAAAAAAATCCAGGAAATACTAAGTCTGCATATCGGAACAAAACAATCAGAGGTACAACACACAAACACCAGATGACAATGATTTTTTTCTTTCTTTTTTAAAGAGATAGTTCGTACAGAGATGGAAGCAATGAACAAAAAAGACCTGATGATGTGTGACAACTGATTATTAATATCCAGAGGAAATAAAAGTATAATTGATAAAAACAAGATTTACAACACATACAAGAATCTGAAGAACAAAAATGAAATCCCCCCCTAAAACAACCAAAGTCGTTAAAACCCGTATGTTTTGAAGCATTCCAAACAATTTTTTTTAAAATTCTTAATGCTTTAGAAAAATGTTCATATCTCTATTATTAGTATTTTTCATTTTGTCTCTTTTCTAAATACAAGGCCAATGTGGTATATATCTAGGCTGATCTAGTTTAGAAAAACAAAACAATAAATTATTTTAAAAAAGACAGCACCCCACAAAATTGCAAACAGCTTGTACAAATTTCAGTATTCAAGACGACAACAACAACAGAAAAAAAGTTCTTTCTGGTACTGACAGAAACACGCCATTGAAGCCATCAACTACCCTCCACAGTTTGTTCAATGGCAGCACCAACTGCCCCCTGGTTCTCAACATCACTGTTGCCAGGGTTTCTGTTTGAAAGCACCATCTGAGAGTAAACTGGTATTTTTTTTATTGGCGGCTTGGTATTTCTTTTTGTAAACAGTAATGATGAGTAAACGTATTCAACTGGCTGTTCGGCAAGTATTAGCAGTAGTAGCAAAAATGATCTTAAATAATGAATGGGCAAGTTGAAAACCAAAGTGAATCTGTGTCTTTTGTCCTGGCTTGCAGGAATTTTGGTTATGGCTGAGGAGATGCAGGAGGGGAGCTCTGTCACCGGGAGGAGGAGGCCTGGTAAGATGAGAAACACAACAGACTAAATTAGCTAACAAATAAATTAATGTGTGAGTGGCATGAAAAAAAGTTTAACTGACAACTAATTTTGTTTCAGGTGGTAAATGAACCCTCAATTTGTAGGAGATGGATGGCACCCCTGGATACTGGGCATATGTCTGACAAGGCAGTAAAAGAGGTAAGTCTCTACTCACCAGGTTGAAGGAGTCAAATGTGTTCATGAGCTCCTCTATGCGGTACTGCTCCAGCACCACTACGTTGGTCAGGTTCGGGCTACGCTGACGTGCACAGTCCTCACAGTGAACCACATACGTCTTCCTGTTGTTGTTCTCACTTGTCACAAACAACAAATTGAACACCTCCACCTGTCACGGAGGAGACAACAGGTTAACAAACATTCAGGGTGTAGTAGAAAGTAATAATGTAATACCAAGAAAAGTGGTTGCTCCCTGCTGTTGCAACAGGCCAACAATGAACTTTACAGAGAGGTGTTGAAACTGTACCTAATGTTGTTGTTGAAGGGTATATAAAGTTGTAGTTCACGTTTATTAATATACCATGAACGGAGTGGAAAAAAAACACTTCTACCATTTGATTTATTGCAGGGTTGTTGAACTGCCTTAGTTTTAGATAGGGGTACCTAATAAACTGAAAGAGACAGCGTTTTATGGTTTAGTGATTGAGAGCTACTCACATCACATTCGTTGCAGTAGTAGGCAGGCTCGTCTTTGACCCGACTCTGATAGGAAATCTTCTTGCCTTCAGCCACCAGTTGGTCTCGCAGGATCTGGATGTGCTTCATAGACTGCAGCAGGCAGTGTCTGGCAGGAGGGTAAAGAGACCAGCATTTACATTAAGCAATTGTCAAAAGTTTTAATTATTAAAACTCAGACTTAAGTGGGCCCCTTGCTGCAGCCCTGCAATAAATTCTGCTTTCATAGCTATGTTTATGATTACAATATGTAATGTTAGTATATCATTTTGGAGGCTGCAGTTCATGACACTGTTGAATGTTTGTAATGTTTTGCCTACCTCATATTAATGACAATAGAGAAATAATACAAATGCCTCTCATAATAATGCACTGCAATTTAATAACCCAAAAGCCAATTAAGTTGAATGAACCTTTCTAGCAGTTTTAACAGAAACTGCACATTATAGTCTGCATGAAGGTGGAATAATTGTTTTAGTTTGAACTGGGTACTCACTTGATCATCTTGTAGGTGTCTGGGTCTGTGATCTTGACCGTGCGTGCCACATTCCAGGACACGTGAATCATGGGGACGATGGACTTGACCTTCTTGACTTCGTTCCACTCAAACCTCTCCAGGGCCAGCTGGTACTGGTAAGCTGCAGATGCACATGAAACAGTGTTGATGAATAAAACAGTTTTCCATAATATTCTTTCTGTATCTGATCACTAGAGGGTGCACAGCTTACCATTTAGAGGTCCAACGTTCCAGGCAATGTTGTTGCACCAGCCCACAGCCTGAACCCAGTGAACAGTTCCAGCGTTGATCCACACTAGGTCTCCAGGCCGCTGGATGAAGCGGTACACTGGGATGTTGGCATTGTAGAGGTCCTCCAGCACTGGCCACCAGGACCCTGTCAGGTAGTCCACTCCATGTCTGGGCACACAAAAAGTATAAGTTGTTATGGCTTGCATGTAATATTGGTAATTATACTGCTACAAATTGATTGATGTCAGCCTGCATTCTGAGATTTTCTCACTTTTCACAGAAGTCATTGATGGCATGCCAGTAGTTCTCATGGACAGAGAACCACTCACAGTCTCCAGGACCGATGTTGATGTTCACAGAGCAGAAGTTATTGTTCTCCTGGTGACCTGTTGAATATGGACAGAATCTCCTGTCATATATAGAGTAAATTTTTATTGAGAATCAAACAGATCCTGTTTAAATTGTGCTGTGTGCTTTACCTGGTGTCCGACTCCCTGGAACCTTCATGTAGAGCTGGACAGTGTTCATGCCAAGGATTGTATGTCCAACATGGCTAAGCATATTTCCACTGGATGCTACACGCATAAAAGCTGGCAGCTTCTGCAACTCTTGAAGCTGGGGTTTCCACCTGAGCAGAGACAGAACATGATATGAGATCACATGGAAAGACATTTAGTGGGTCTCAGACACCGTTATTAAGACCACCATACATTGTTTCATAAAGTACTACTGTACCTCTTGGGATCTGACAGGTCGATGTTTGTACCAAATTTAATGATCTTCCCGACTGGTTTCTGCTCACCACTGAGGAATAAGAAAATATTAAAGCATTACAAATGATAAAACACTGGAGTGTGTTAGTATACCTTTTCCTGGCATTTTTTTAAAACAGTCTGTACCTGGTGCTTTCTTTAGAGCTTTCCTTGCTGGGATTATCAGAACAGTTGGATGGCTTCTTCTCCTTCTCATCATCTTCATCCTCCTCCTCATCACTGCCTTTCTCCTCCTGAAGACACAGATCACGTGTGTATCAGCTGGATTGCAGCACAGAATGCAGTCACATAAATAGTAACTAACTCCCACTATAGTATTTACTAGTATAGTGGGAGGTGACTTGGTTAGAGTAGAAAGAAATTGTCATAGTATGAGGTGTTCTGTACCTGGAGACTCTCTTGGAAACTGGAGGCCTGGTACTGAGCATACTTGGCGATGGTGGTGTGGGAGCGGCTGCTCTCACAGGGCCATGTCTGACCTGTCCCACTGGGGTCCCAGTTCTCATCAGCAGGCTGCTGCACCTGAGTCCTCACCTCCACCGCTTGCTCTGCGTTGGCTTCCACCAGCGACTTGGTAGAAAACAGCCCCAGGTCTGAAAACAATGGAAAGGAACATTAGGGATATGTTTTTGAGTGAGGCGGGAGTTACCTGATTGCTCAGACTACAGAGCAGTGAAGATGAGAGAAATTGTATGCAAACTGTGACAATGCAAATACATAGTATATGTTTCCACAAGACTGATTTTAAAAGCCTCACATAAGGCTAGATTCACTACGTGTTTAATCCAGAAGTATTGAGAGAGCTTCCCATGAGTTTTGCATGTTATGTTCTAACCAGTCAGTAAGTGCAAACATACTTAGTCGTAGAGATCCAGCCAGGCCTCTGATGACAGTAACAGGATTCTTGGGGTCTGTACAGAACTGCAGCAGCACAGGGGAGAAGGCATCTCTCTTACTCTCCAACTGCAGAGAAGAAAAATCATATTAGTGCACAGCAACACAAACTGTTTCAACTTATTTGTCTACCTGCACAGTGATTCCCCACAAGGGGGCGCACAGGCTCGTTTAGGGATGCTGTATTTTCATGTCAACTGTCTACAGTGTACCCCTTATGTTAAGACAATTTTGTCTTCTGTTATGGACATTAAAGAATTTGTAATATGTATTTGCACACTTTATGACTTAACAATAAAGTGGTTTCTCACCTTTCCTTTGTTGGTAGATTTATTTCAGCTATTTGTTACTACCATGTATAATCATGGATAAAATGTGCGTGTCCCACATGTATCACATCAAAGGCCAAAGACTGAAAGTAAACTAATATATGGAAGAAATATAGTGACATACATAGATACTGGGTGTAGGAGGGTTGAGTTTCTCTCTAGGAATGGGTTCCTCTGAAGTCATGATGGGCTTTACTGAGAAGGCTGGGAGCAAGTAAGATTCTCTGAACTTCCCTTTGACCCTGGCCCCCCTAGAACAGGAGAAAAGAGAACATGTTGACAAAGGCAAACGAGGGTGCAATACACAGGTTTCTATTACTACTTGTGTGCCCATGAGTGGGACATTTTACTCTGTTAAACACATATTCATCCAATCTCATTCTGATATCCCAGTCTTTTAGATTCATAAATCCCCAATGAAATTTTACATTAAATCCATTTTTAGAAAAGTCTTCCTCCACAGTACACTTACTTGCAGGACCTGATGATTTCACTGGCAGTGTTCTTGATGCTGATTTCTTCCAGTGGGATTCTCTTTTCCTCCACCTCAGAGGCAATGAATGTCTCCCTGTCCCCACTCTCTACTTTAATCAGGCGAATCTTCAGCTCCTTGGGTGGCCCATCTGACAGTGCCTTCAGTTTCAAGAAGTCCGTGGAACCTAATGGACCAGATTCAGAGCCTTTTTTATGCTCAGAAGATCTTTCTCCAGAACTCCTTGAGGTCCATTCTGCATGCTCCCCTTCACTGGTGGAGCTGGCACCTGATGCTTCCTTGCGTTTCTTTTTATCCGTGTCATAGTGACTCCGATTCTTCTCCGACCCCTCTTTGCTCTGGAGGTTGAGGTCACCAAGAATTCTGCGATCCTTCTTCTCCTTATGGCTCTTACCATCCTTGTGCCGCTTGTGGCTGGAGCTGGAATGGGTGGAAGAAGAAGATGATGATGATGATGATGAAGAAGAAGAGGAAAAGGCCATCTCCTCTCTCTTTTCTCTATGCTTCTTTTTTTCTTTTCTGTCATCATGCTTCCTGCTGCTACTGTGGCTGTGACCGTGCTTTCTCTTCTTCTCTTTCTCCCTTTCTCTCTCCCTGTCTCTGTTTTTGTCTTTATCTCTGTGTTCCTTTACTTTCTCAGATTTGTGGCTGCCCTCCAGTCTGCCACGACTGTCCGGCTTATCAAGGGAGTTCTTGTTAGGAAGTGACTGTCGGCCAAGCAGGACCTCGCAGCTATTTCCCAACTCGTCCAGAGAAGAGTCTGAGATGGTTTTCAACCTTTGCTCCTCCTTGACCACCTTAATAGGCTTTATGGTAGGAACACTCTCTTTTTTGATCATGTTTATCATTTCTTCTGTGGTTTCTCCATGATCTCTCCAGATGTCAGCATCCTCTATTTTCAGTTTCTTGTCTTCCAGCAGAGGAGGAGAGGACTTAAAAGGTGGGACAGCTGGACTCAATGGTGGATTGGTTGAATCTGATGTGGGAGAACCACTTTGTTGCTGGCGGCAGATATCAGGACCTAGTGACAGTGAAGAGGAATATTTCACCCCAACCAGAGCTGATGGAGGTGGTCTCCCAAAAGGCCCACCTCTGTATGCATACTTCTGGCTCTCTAGGACTGTTGCTAGGGACTTGAACATGCTGTTTACACCTGTTTGGTGGAGGTGAGGTCTTTGGGGTGGTGGTGAACAAGATGGGGTCTCAGAGTCCTCCTCATCATCGTCCTCATCAGCCTCACTTTTAGTCTGCTCAGGGAGGCCATAAAGTTTAGCCAGGTCACTGTGGCGGTAATTGGTGTTTCCAACTCCCACTCCCATGTCCATTGAGTGTTTAGAGACATTTGGAGAAGGTTTAAGGTAGTCCTCATCATCCTCGTTGAGAGAGGATGTCCGGCTGCAAGGGGATGCCAGAGAGCCTTGGCGGCTGAGCACAGGAGGGCTAGCATGGGGATTGGATCCAAAGTCTTCCTGGTTGGGCTGATGCTTCGTTGCTGGAATGAGGTCTGGGGCACAAAGGTAGCTCTTGATAGGCTGGACACTAAGAGAGAAGTTGTCAAGGAGACCTGTGGACCCAGTCTTCTCATTGTTATACATCTCCTCTTCCTTTTTGATCGACTCATCCAGCATGGCCATGATGTTAGCCAGACCATCAGGGAGGAGTGTGGACAACTCGGAGGGCTCCTCCTCAAACTGAGCACTGTCTGAGTCAGTGCCACTGCTGCTGGCATTTTCGAAACCACTTCCTGTCAGCCGCTTGTTGAGAATTCCCCCTGTGGAGCTGGAGGTGGAGGATAAAGGTGGTGGTGGAGGGTTTTCTCTGGGAAAAGCCTGATACAGTTTGGGGGGCTCTCTAAGTGCCATGGTAGGGAGAGAGTGTTGGCTGCTGTCTCTCTCCCTGGTTGAGTCTTTGGATTGGTTGGGTGCGGCTTGCATTGCCGGGGGCTTGTTGGGGTACACCGGCTGGTTCATCCCTGAGGTATTGTGTGTTGATGAGGGACTGAATGTCGTTCCGCCATTGTTGCTCCACATCTCCCTCTGCCTCTGCTTTTCTCTGGCATACTCAGTCTGAGGTGTAAGAGGAGGCGGCCGCAGCCTTTCTACAGGAGTAGTGGTGGTGGGCGTTTGGCCCGGTGGACAGGGGAGTACACCACCACGGCTTAGCCAGGGGTAGGGGGGTGAAGCCTGGGAACTGGGGGGCGGTGGACCTGAAGGAGGTGCAGTAATAGAAGAGAGGCGAGGAGGTGGGGGTGTTCTGGAGGAGCTGCTGGAGAGCAGTCTCTCCAGATTTTCAATAGCAGTCTGTTCTTTGCCTTTTGCGCTACACGCTTCCTCCTCCTTCTTCCACTCCATCCTCTTTTTCTCCTCCTCTTTTCTCTCCAGCTCTCTTTGTTTTTTCTTTTCCTCCTCCTGCCTCTCCAGTTCTCTTTTCTTCCTCTCCTGCTCCTCCCTCTCTGCTTCTCTCCTCCTCCTTTCCTCCTCTTGCCTCTCCCGCTCTCTCCTCTTCCTTTCCCGCTCCTTTTTCTCCCATTCTCGCTTTTTCCTCTCTTCTTCTTGTCTCTCCCATTCTCTCTTTTTCCTCTCCTCCTCTAGCCTCTCCGCTTCTCTTCTCCTCCTCTCCTCTTCTTGCTTCCTCTTTCTCTCTTGCTCCTGCCTCTCCCATTCTCTCCTTCTCCTCTCCTCCTCTCGCTCTAGTTCTCTCTTTCTCCTCTCCTCCTCCTTCTTTTCCAGCTCTTTCCGCTTCCTTTCCTCGTCCTGCTTTTGTCTCATTTCCCATTCTTTCTTCCGCCTCTCCTCTTCTCTTATTTTTCTCTCTTGCTCCTCTCTGTCTCTCTTCCTCCTTTCCTCAGCTTGCATGTGTCCCTCTAGTTCAGCATCAAGCTTGTCTAGAGCCTCCTCGATGGACTGGGGGACAGAGGTTGGAACTGGCGGACGAATCTGGGACCGAGAGTACCCCCGTGTTAACGCAGAGTCTGGCTGAGGACCCAGTCTGGAGGATAGGGTTGGATTGGATGGCTGAGGGGCAGAGTTGACAGTGGAGTGAGGAGCTGGGCAGTATGTAGTAGGAGAGCGAGGAAGTGGATTTGAGACTCTGCTTGTTATTACACTGTCTCCTGCTCTCTGGTGCCCTGAGGAGAACAAAGATGATGATGAGGAAAATGCAGGATGTTGCTCCAGTCCAGCCTTAGGATAATACGATGTCTTCTCCTTCATGGGCTGGGACTTGGTGGGTCCCTGTTGCTGTGGTCTGGGCAGCCCCTGTTGGTGAGGCTGGTTGGCAGTGGGAGCTTGACCTCTCTGACAACCTGGTTGTAGCAGAGCACCCAGCTGAGAGGTGGGGCTAATGACGGCACGGGTGGAGGTTTGGGTTACTGGCTCTCGTCCTCTTTGCCAACTGTTGTTACTGCTGCCATTGTTCACAGAGCAGCCAGCAGGGGGGGATGTGGTCACCTTGGAGACACCAGCCAGAGTTACACCTCTAGAGCTGCTACTGTTGCTATAGCTGCTGATAGAGCTGGAGGACTGGGACATGGGAACATTGGGGGTAATTACAGGTGTTCGGGTGGAGGTTGCGGGCAAAGGAGGGCTGATGTGATGGTGGTGCTGAGAGGGAACCCGACTATCCACGACCTGATTGTGGCTCTGCTGGCGCTGAGGTAGCAGTCCTGGAGGCCTGTAGATGCCCGACTCCTGAAGAAACACATACAGAGCCATTTTCAATCAGTTACTTTTAGAATGACCATTATATCTAAACAATTCCATCTGGGTTACATTTCAATTTTAAGCCTGTTTAGTTCAGAATAAAAACACTTGCTGTTTTTTATGTTTTTAAGTGATTTTAACACTGACAACTGCAGAAGAATAAAAGAACTAATATAAACATGGTGCATATGAACTACTGCATGAATGACTTGTACTCACCAGGGAGTGACTGCTGGGCCTGCTCTGGTATCTCCAGGCCTCATGGGGACCACTTTGCTGTTGCTGAGGTACTGAGGTGCTGCTGGCAGGAGGAGGAGGAGGAGGGGGAGGAGGGGGACCCTGGTGCCCCAGCCCTGGATGAGGCTGGAAGTGGCTGTAAGGCACACTGCTGCTGCTGCTGCTGTTGCTGTTTTTGCTGGTTGCAGGAGGGTTTGCTGGTGATGACTGGGCATGTAGATGTTGATCTCTGTCCCCTCTGGTTGGGGTAGATGCCGTGTAAGAGGTAGCGTGGCTGCCACCTTGGCCCCCAATGAGAGGGCCTCTCTGGTTGTGAGGACCACGAGGCTCCATGGCCCGGTAGGGTGGAGCTAGCCCCAGTTTGGAGCTGGGACTGGGGTAGGAGGAGTGAGGAGACTGATGGTTTACAGCCTGAGGTTGGAACGTGTCTTTCTGGAGCTGAGGAGCACATCCCTGGTTGTAGCTTCCCGGAGAGGAGTTTTGTGGAGGGGAGAGGTTTGAAGGGGCGGAAGAGGCAGGAGAGGACTTTTGGCTGTAGCTGCCCATTCCTTGTTTGTTGGTGTCCTGTAGCAGGAAAGCAAATGAGGATGATTAGAGTGATATAAAACTAAAAAAGGATTTGATCTCTGCTGCACTTAACAAAATAGGGAAAAGGAAATCAATTCTGGGCTTGCTGGTGCATACATCAAAACCAACAGTACTCAGGTTCAGACAGCTAATAGAATCAATAAGTCTTTATGGCACCGCTCAATCCAATGAAGGTTTTCCTATTGATCATGGTCAATAGTAAAATATTAACCCCTGGCTCCAAGTACCATGTAATCAATGAAGTGATATTTTCACACTGTTCAGACCTGGAACTCTTGCGATGGTGGGTTCTTGCGGTCAGAAGTGTGGGGCTGCCAGGGAGTGCTTTCCTTGTGAAGGGGGTTCCAGAAGGCAGGTTTTGGAGGGTGGTGGTGGACTGACGATTGCTGCTGAGACAATAAAGACTGACCAGGACCAGAGAAACGCTGCAGCCCAGGATGGGATACCTGCAAAGGGAAATGAGACATTACAATATTTACCACTCAAATGAACAAAACTGTATAGAAACTCTACAGCTGAGGTCATAAATTACTACTCTTTGTGGCAATTTTTTGGTATTAAAAGAGAAAATGTTTGTTCCCGTCTGATACCTGATCCGAACTCTTTTTCCTCTTGCTAGGGCTGGGACAGTCCTCGGCTACGGGAAGGCGGGATGACGGGTGCAGGGATGGCGGAGGAGTGTGCTGGATAACAGAATGCTCTCCCAATGGAGGGCCCGGTCTCTTCAGCTGACCCCCTAGCATCTTCCCGGGGTAGCCTCTCTGCTGTGAACAGAAAAATGAAAGGAGGGTCAGTGTTGTGAAAAGTGAAGACAACTTCAGCAACTAATGCACTGTGAGTGAAAAAGTTTCTTTGCTGAAATGTTCAGCCAAAGCTCAGAGACAGCGGCTGTGACTGGAGTATGACTTACATCGTTCTGGTTGAAGAAGAAATGACAGCCAGAATAGGGGCTGTTCTGTGTCTATAAGGATGATGAAATGTGATCGTAGCCAATTAGAGAGCTCTTACCTGGTGCACCTGAGCCCACATCTCATCTCCCAGCAATGATGAACTCCTGGGAACATGCTGCTCCTGAGGACCCCCAAACTAAAGCAGACAGCAAAGACAACACAAAGTGTGAACGGAGTCGTTTCTTTCATCTAAGAAAAACCTTTTTACTCTGGTGCATAAGTGTCTGCTGTTAAGTCATATGGAGCATTGGTCCTCACCTTCAGCAGTTGGTTGGGCCTGCTGTGGGGAAGATGTGGATTAGGGGGAGGTCCGCCACTGCCAGCGTAGCTTCCATTATGGAGTCGAAGTGCGTGCTCATTGGGCAGGGGCACAACAGGATGTCCTTGAGGAGGGAGGTGGGATTCATACAGCTGGCCTAGTTGCTCCCACGCTCTGTGAGGAGGCGGAGGATGAAGATGTGGAGGAGGAGGTCTCTGCTGCTCCCTCTGCAGGCCTGGTAATATTGGCTGTGGGAGCTCAAGCTTCTCACCTCCTCTCATGGGCCTGGACAGCCAAAAAAAAGGCAGAAAGACATCCAAATGACACAAAGCTTGTTTCATCATAGCATTTTTTATAAATAAATTACCCTCTGATGTCACCAATCGTTTTGTGCATGACTCACCCATTACCGAAGAATTTACTGGGATGGTTCAGTCCACCCATAGGACCAGGAGGTAGATGGGGAAGGAGCTGGTGTTGATTCATTCCAGGCGAACACCTAATGAGGAACAGAGACAGCACACACAGAACGATCAGGTTGCTGTAAATCAAGTTTATTTGAGCTATAAATTTGTTTCTGCCGTAAAATTATGACTTTTGAGCTCAAATGACAGATTCAACCAGGTGGATTTAAGTTGACAAAGAAGTTTGTGTGTATCTGTTGTCATGGCTTCAGACCTGGCAGGTGGCTGCCAGGCGCGGCCGCCCACGGGAGCCCATGGTCCCCGGTTGAGTCCGTCCAGAGGGAAGGAATCCCGTGTGCCACGCCCACCAAACTGCTCTACTGCGTGATGCATCCAGCCTGTGTAAGTTAGTAATACAGTCATATAATTAATGCACAGACACATATACAGACTTTCTGTTATCATCACATGGACCGTAGAGCTTAATGAAAAGTTATGTCTTAAAATGATACACATTTTAAAAAGGTGGTAATTACCTGAAGCTCATTATGAACTCTCTTGACAAATACAAGATCTAATCTCTCAGTACCATCATGTGTTTTAATAGTATAGCATTTGTGGTAGACCTCTCATTTTGCAGGAAAACTACATGAGGGTTAGGCTCACTTTAAAAATCAATTTAAAAATTATACACTATTATTATTATAGACCAAGGGTTTAATCAGACTTAGCAGTGTAATTACTTTTAGACTGCCATGCATGAGTGCTAGAAATTATATCAGAGTGCTCATACTTACCAGACTAGCTATGTCTGTGAAGCCCTCCACTGCAGCACAGAGAGGGCCTCACTCCAACACTGAGAATATCTGTACTGTCCGACTCTTCTGTCTTCAGCACCAAGAACCCAAAAGCCTATTGGCTGCAGAGACAGAAAACAGCAGAGCCACTATGAGAATGAGAGACACAGACACACTGAAAATTCAATAAACGCCAGTGGGCTCTGTATTATATAGGCTAGTTGGTGGGTGTATGTGTGTGAGTTGGAGAGCTTGCCAGCAGCAAGGGGAGGGTGTAGGTAGAATATAGGACAGGGGAGAGCCAGGCAAAAGTCAGTACGACTGCAGCGGCAAACTGAAGTAAAACTCTAGCTTCTGTACATCATTTTTCACATTTCCTATTTTGCTTCTGCAGAATAAATTCACTGTAAGTCTCAAATTCTGATGACTTCTTTGTCTGTAGGTGGCTGCTATGCATCATTCAGCCTGTAGGGGGTGCTAGTAAACCAGTTGCTACAGAATAGGATTATTACTGAGGCCCAGATGGCTCAGTGGGGAGCTCACCTATGAGGACAGACCTGGGGTTACTGTAATCCTTACCATGGGCCTCCTGATAACAAGAGACAGAGGGAAAGACTAAGAGTGAGAGGCCTTGGTTGCATGCCAAGTGTGTGTGTGTTTGTGCTCAAGTGTGTGGTGTTGGAAGCAGTGCCAAGTGTGCAAGCTGCATTTTCATGTCAGGCTTGTGCTGGTTTAGTGCATGTGAGAGAGAATAGTGTGCTCTCTTAAGTGGATGATTATGTGTGTGCTGCAGTGTGTTCTGAAGGGTGTGTGTATAAAGTGTGTGTGCATGTGCATGCCCGGTGGATACACCAAGGTTTAATCTCATTACGGCAGGCGTGATGGAGAGGGAGAGGGGGGCAGCAGCGACAGACGGTCTGAACAGGATGGAAGGATAGATTAAGGAGAAAAGATAGAGATGGAGAGGAGGGAAGGGATGGAGGGAGGTGGAGTGGAGAGTAGGAACAGTGCCATGAAAACGCCCACACACCTTCCCACACACACACACACACACACACACACACACACACACACACACACACACAGAAAACACAAAGGAAAACGGTTGAGGGAAAAAGACATAAAAGCAGCTCATAGATAACTCGCTCCCCTCCCCTGCTTTCTGAAACACTGGAGACAGACACACACACACACACACACACACACACACACACACACACACACACGCACACACACACACACACACACACACAATACAAAAGACAGAAGGTGCCAAGATACAAAGAAGTCCATGTTTCAAAGTACCTTGATTCATAAAGGACAACAAAAGAGATACCTGACAAAACCTGAGAGGATGTGTTTCCACCTGCATATTCACCACTGCTGTTAAAAACTAGCAACAAACATATACTTTTGTTGTACTGAAGACATAACAGATCAAATCCTCATTTGTATCATCTGTTAAACATCAGACACAAGCTGAACTATCCAAAAACAGTAAGTATCCCATCTCATCACTCACAACAGATTAAATATGACCATTACACACCTGGACACACAATATAAAAGACAGAAGGTTTTAAGATACAAAGAAGTCCATGTAATTTCCATCAACCTGGGAATGTAATGTAAAACTAATAAGTTGTTCAATGAATTGCTGCCCCAAATGTACAAGAAATGCAATGATAACACCTTGAAGTGAGTAACTGTACTGCGTAATGCATTATGGCAGAGTAGCAGATGTGCACACACAGGTTATGATTCATTTCTCTTGCTCAGCAAAGCCCTCTTCCACCAGTTTTCCTAAATTAGCTCTGGTCATACGCAGTCCTTCCACCCACCAGTTCCTCTCCTCTTCCTTTCTTCTTCCCACTGACTCTGGATCTCTCTGCCTCTATTTAAAGCCCAGTAGGGGATATTTCAATCGCTGTACACTTTTAGCTCGTCATTAGGGGTGCTAGAGAGTGACACACACCCCACCCTCTCTATCTCTTCCCTTCTGCCTCACAGTGATCGTCATCCACCAGCCGCTGCTGTTATGTGAAGATAGGCTGGCGTTAACTGTCAAGACTGTACTCGACATGCTTTAAGACAAACTGATACAAACGCACTCCCATGCTGAGCGTACCTTTTAGAGTAGCACCTAGTTATTGATTCACAGTTGTGTTAAGTCTCGGCTTCGGCTGTCAATCATCTCTCTGGGGTCTCCTCAACCCTGAAAGACACAGAAGACAAAAACATTCATGTCAAGCTGTCATAAAAACAACATGAAGCCACGCTAAACACGATACTCAGATATGATCAAAACTGTCATCAACCTAAAGCCTCTAAGCATATGATGCAATTCACAGCTGAGGGTGGTCTTTGATGTCAGTATGAACTAAGAACCCCCTGTCCTGCTGCTTCTTTTCTCTGGCTTTCTAGACAGCGAATCATCACTACCCTCACCCCTCCTGGTTTCCTGACTTCTGAGGTAACGCCTGGTTTCAGAGCAGTGAGGAAAACCTGAGGGTGGCTCAGAGGCGAAGGGGTAAATCAGCAGGGATGCCAACACAATGGAAGCGGGGGGGGGGGGCTCTCGTTCACTTTCTCTTCTCACAGACACAATGGTGAGACTAGCTGCAGCTTAGCAGAGTGAGCAGACACACAAACAAGGCTGATCTCACTCTAACAGGAAGAGCTGAGCAGGCTAAGTCAACTATCACACGTGAAAGAGTAGCACTGCGGAAACAATACAAAATAATAAAACACATGACATTATAGAGAAAGAAGAGAGTGGGACAGAACGAGAGGTTTAAAATAGAAACATTTAGAAGAAGATATAAAGAGAAATTTAGTGAGAGAGCCAGTTACGACGAGAGAGTGCACACAGGGACATAGTGGTGAAGTTGTAATTACCACTTTTATAGAGGGTGTGTGTTTATGTCTGTTGTGACCAAATGGTCGTCTATTCCAGTTGCTATCCTGGCTATCACATTGCTCACAGCCACTCCACCAGCACAGTGTGAGAAACTCCGCTCTCTGAAACCAGATAGTGTACACAGACGGCAGACAGTGTTACATACCAGCTCAGGTTCTATCAGATGATACCAAAGCGATGAAGTGTGGTTATGTCAGCTATGAGTTAGGGTTCAGTGTGTGAGAGGAGAAAACAGTGAGAGTGTGTGTCTGCGTGTCAGCATTACGCATTTCATTTTTGGGGGAACCCCTGATGACTCAGCACCCTGAAACAGGGCTTACCCAAAACCGCAGGCCTAAACTCCGCCCTCCTGGGACACCGCTTACAGTCAGGTGACCGGGGGCGTGTTTCTGCACCATTGCAGATGTGACAGCAGCGGGAATTTCTCGGAGTTTGAGATATCATTTCTGCGTCCATTGCAACATGCCGCATGCGTTGATTGTACGTGTGTGTATGTGTATTTACATAAAGAGACAGGATGTGATGACAAGCTACAGGGGGGTTTCATGGCCGAGGGAGGGATCAGACTATCAAACAGCAAGTTTCAGATAAATGAAGAGGAAAATTATACAAGGAAATAGTGATCAAGCTGATGATCACTGTCACACACACATATTCGTTGTGCTGATAACGCCTGACCAATCAAAAAGTTAAAATTGAACTGTTACATATTCAGCTTCAGTGAAATCAGGAACACTTAAAGTGCTCAAGTTGCTTTAATCTGCCATCACTTTAACCTCAATCTAACCACAACAAGCTGCAGTAAGTGTGAAAGTGTACAGTAAGTGAATTAAGGTTAAGTGAAAGTAATTTAAGAATTTGACGCTGTCAAATGTCTCTGCTACTCCTTATACACAGCTGATAGATTTATCAATTATTACCAAACAGATGACATAATTCACTGTCACATCAAAAATTCCCCTATGGTACATCTTGTTCAAGTGAAATCCCCCCCCCCATCAAAGAGTGGTTCCTGTCAACGCCCTCGTTGTCGTAGTTACGCAAGTTAGTTATTGTCCCGGCAATACCAGCCATCAGCTGGGAGGCGGGGCCAAACAGGAAGCTTTGGCAAGCAGACAAAGCCGTGCCAACTGCTGTCAACCACACCAACTACGAGGCAAGAAAGAAAATAAAGGAGCTCTGTTGAATCCTCTGTGGTATCTAACAAAGAAACATATATACACACACACAAACACATACTAAATAAATAAATCCACAATAATCCCACGTGACACACAAACCAAAGTCACAAGCTTGTGGCTATACACAGAGAAGCACGCCTAACACAAGCTGAGGGAAACAAATGGTTGAAATTAAGATGTTCAGATGACGTCTGACTCGGTGCAGTAGCCTTAATCTATTCACCCTCACCCTTCCCTGCCAACCACTGGCCTGCACTGATCCCCAGCCAGACAACCACTCAGGCCACGAGAGGAAAACAGACTGGAGAGAGATGAGGGGAGGCAGCGATGCAATGCAAAATAAACATTTATCTGTGTAAAAAAATTCTACTTCTTTCCTGCGTTGTGAGACATGAACAACCTGAAAGAGGCAGACCTCTCTCATCCTGGTGGCAGATTTTCCTTTTTACTGTGCAAAATTGTAAGAAAAATGTAAGATTCAGTAGAACATGAATGATTTGTTGGTCTGTTGATTTGACTCTGAAGCACATTAATGTTAACCAGTATTGCCCCATGACAGATGGGTAAGAGTGTTGGTGTGACCATATGAACAATGACAAGCGATAAGACCACTGAAAATGTAGAGCTGGAGGGGGTAATGGCAGACAGCTGGAGTGTGTTACTGTCCTAGTAAAGTCACTGCAGAGCCTGTGTGATAAGAAATGACCAGATAAGGCTGGGAGAAGTGGCAGATAAGAGAAAACAGAGCGAGGGAAGAGTTCTGGCAGCAATGAGTTTCTGGCCGAGGATGACGGAAAGGCCATGCATGGTCCTCTCTCTCTCCCTCTCTCTCTGTCTTGTTCTGTCCTCCCTCGCCCTCTCTACTCGATTTGGCCATTACATAATCAGGCCCAGATAGAGATCATGTTCGGGAGGAAACACCATGCATTTCTCTCTCTCTCTTACACACAGACACAGACAGAGAGGAACACTAGCCCCTGCATCCGTCCGCCCCCACCACCGTTGCCAGGCTGCCTCTGTGTGTGTTCGTGTATGCATGTGTTTATTTGTTTGTGCGTGTGCAAACGTCAGCGCATACCGTTCCAAGACGGTGATGCGGGCTAACTTCATCCCTACACACGCACACACTCACAAAATCAGAATAGTGTTCTAACCAGCACAGGGCAGTGTAGGTCAGCCAAGGAAACAGCTAGCAAACATTGCCCCTGCTCACAAACACAGGAGCATCTGACCTCCATGATGGACCATTATCTCCTGCTAAAATCCATCTCACCAACACGACCCTCCGTCCAGGGGACAGAGCGCTGACATAACCCTTCGCCCAGTTACGGCCACATCTTCTATGCTCAGCAGCAGCACGCCAGGCAGCCATAACAGGCCAGATAAAAGCTCCTACTTGTCTACTTTGTCTCTTCCTGGCTTATATATGCACCCCCTCACATCTGCTCTACATTCGGGCCATGACAGAGAGGCACTAAAGCACAGGGGGGAGGATTATTCAAAATCTTCGCATTAAACCTGCTGCGTTGACACTGCTGCTCCTTTCAGCTTTGAGTAGATTTTGAAAGGACAGTGAGAAGCTTCAGGTTAACAAGCACCAAAGGCTGTCTCGTTCTGGCTGTTGGTGGTCAACCTGTCACCGAGCTGTTTGTCTTGTCACCACCTCTTTTTCCACCCATTGTTTTATTCTTGTGAAGTGCTTTGGCGGAAAAGCAATAAAAAAAATTAAAAAAAAGATGAAAAAGTTGATTTCCGGACCCCTTAGTGACACACTGACAGAAACAGTTAACCCACATTTTCATCTACTTGTGGAAAGAGAAACCAAACACGGAAGAGCACGGGGGGAGGGGGGCTGGCTGGCAGAAAAACATGAAAACATGAGGCCCCCTTTGTCTGTTGCACTCACCACCCTGACATCTGGGCTGTGACTGACAACACACAACTGGGTTAGTGTGTATTTCTCCTTTTCTCTCTCACATACACACACACAGATCAGATGCACGTGACGTGTGACGTTAAAGAGAAGGGGAACAAGAGCTTGGAGGGGAGAGGAAGCTGTCGTCACAACCACAGGAAGTAGGCCTCCCTGAGGGGTTTGGGGGTGTGTGCGTGAGAGAGAGGGAGAGAGAGAGAGAAGAGAGGTCTAAGAGAAGGGTTTTAAGGCAGTGGCTTCCTGTTGAAAAAGTATGAACTTTATTTGTGTTTTGGTGGATCTTAAAAAAGCCTTTTGACTGTAAGAAGACATAACTGATCTTGTGTGACTAATCTGAGTCTTTGCAGATGTGAAACAAGAAGAGTCAATTCAGAAATCGGACCTGTTTCACTTACGGATGCTAAAATATAACTCAGACACACAGTCATCTTGTGTTAACGGCACGTGTCTCCAACTCATGATTCACACAATCTTGTCGACAATAACAAGACAGTCAACTGAGTTGAAAGGCCTTTTCCTTGGCTCTGACCTGTGTGTCTTTAGCTTCTGGTAAAAGTGACAAACATATGATGGCAGAATGAGTGTGAGTGTGTGTGCATGTATGTGATGAATAACTTTTTCTCCCAGTCACTTGTGCTCCCTGCTTCATTTCACAGAAACCCTGTGTTACAGAGGAAGCATCAGTCTGGATTTCTCGACAGCCCCAACAACACTTCTGGGTACTTCACTGTCTGAATCGAGACGTGTGTGTGTGTGTGAGATACAGAAAAAGAAAATGACTCAACACCTGGCTGGTGAGTCTAAAGAACAGGAAAACGGCAAATAAATCCCGACAAACCGGAAATCAGAGAGGATGTGGGCGTCTCATTGAGAACTGACAATGGCTTGATCATCGTCACTCTCGATTTCCACACTTGAGCAACCTCAAAAGCCCCAGAACTTTTCTCTCTGCCTCTCCAGTTGATTGCTCTCAATAACAAATCTAAAAAAAGCTCAGGACAAAACAGAACATCATGCTGCCTCTTTTCATAGGAAAAACTGCCTCAAAATCAGAAGTGAAAAAATCCCCCTCCCTCATACAGCTCCGTCTCTCTCCAGGTGCTCCTATTCCACATCCAGAGCTCTCTCTCTCTCTCTCACACTCACACACACACACACACACACACACACACACACACACACACACACACACACACACACACACACACAACAACAACTATCTTAGAAATCCTCTAAACAAGACAACAGACTCTGCTCCCTTGGTAACAGTTGCTAGGGGAACCAGTAGCGTCTTTACTAACAGTTATTTAACTAAGATAGAGAGGCAGAAGCGGACATAGAAGAACTCATAATAGGGTTTATGACAGGTCTTCACTGATCAACATGTTTACTGAGGCACAGGACACGCTGACCTCACACACCATCCTCTTCCTCTCATCAGCAGCCTGTGTGTGTATGAACAACAAAAAACAACATGGACATGTACGTGTGTGTGTCCGTCCTATATGCCTCATAGTTAATGACAGCATGTGTGCAGATGGCCACAGCAGAGTTGTTCTTACAGTGGGTGTAATTACGCACCAATCATTTAGACTTTATCAGAACAACTGTGACGCAGACTGAGTGGCTTTGTTATGACAGTTTGTTCATTTAGTCCAAAGAACACCAAAGGCTTGTTTACGAATACCAATGTTGGTGATTCTTGTATGTATGTCTTTAATGTAGGTTTTTTTTTCTCCAGGAAAAAGTGAAATGGTGCACATGAGCCTGCTTGCTAGCAGAGCTACTATTTATTCTGCCAGTGTGGTTGAGGTGGGTATAAGTGTTCACGGGAGGTGAGGATTGGTTTAAAAAAAAAAAAAAAAAAAAAAAAAAAAAAAAGGAAGGAAGGAAGGAAGAAGAAAAATTCTTTCCAAGGTGTGAGAGTTTGTTTAATTTTGTGCGTGAGTCACACACACGCACACACAGCGTGTAGGTTCATACACCTCCCTTTCACTGTGGCATCATCATCAGTGGCAACAAGCCAGAGATAACAGAAAGGAACTGAAGTCAGTGGGAAAACTTTCCTTTCACTCTCACTCGGTTCAGCAAACAGAAAGCAAACACTCCCTTACTCTATAACTCAGCTCTATTCAGTCTGGATGGATTCAATTTTGAAAAAAACATTCTTCTTTTCTCTGATATCATTGTTGATTCTCTATTCAAAATGCTGCCATGTTATACACTAGTTTCTTTGCTTGGATTGTAACAGCTCTCACTAAGTTCACTCCTCAACTTCTGGACTAAATTATACCAATCTGTTTTTCCTCACTGTTCTCAGGTCCAAAACACAGCGGAACAGAACCTGGAGCGAGACCACAGCTGCATATATGACCAATATTTATAGTTATGGATGTCTGAGCCTCGTGGTTGGCTGGCAGCATAGAGGAACCCTGCTGGGCCATAGAAACTAATGAGAAATAAATTATGAGGACCATGACTCCATCCGTACATGTTAGTGATGAATCTAATTCAAACTGCTTTTCCATATTTCAAAAATAAAAGGCCTATTAATGTTCAAAAAGTGGCAGTGGTATATGCATGTAAAACCCTTCATTTGTTTACTGTCTTTATTTTTGTGCTGTTTTATTGCCTATTTCATCACATTGTATTCTACAACATGACTGTTATATTTAAGTCTCTCACTCTTTTCACCATTTTCTTGTCTGTCAGCTTTGTCTAGCACATAATTGAGATAAAATGCACAAAAATAACCCTTTTCATATGGTGGACGCACCAGAAGTTGACCTGTCCTGTTTTTTGTGCCCTGGTCCCCACTTTGAAAGACTGGGATCCACACCAGGCAGTCTCACACTGCACGGTGGAATTCCACACTAGGCTGACTGAGTTGTTGCCCCTCTTGGCCCCAGCGAAAACTCTAAAACCTTCACCCTGTCTGAACAAGCTTGGTGTGTTGAAGCGTTTGCATGTACCATAGGAGACTAAATAAACTAAAAGGTATTTTACTGCATTAGTGAGGGCAGCCAATCATCCATATATCCATTATAATGCAATAAATTCAGTCAGCGCTGTTTCAAAAAATAAATACTACTGTACTTAATGTCTGTCAAATAAATAGAGGGGAATTGGACTGGTTATGGGAAATTCCTCAACTAGTTTCCAGCCTTTGTGCCAGGTAACACGTAGCAGAACTCGTGTTTTAACGCCTGATGTGTCGGGTGTGTGGGGAGTGTCTGTGAAACTGTCAGCTGTGCAGATGTTGTCCTGCACCTCCCTTCTTCCCTATTGCTCTCTCTCTCCCTCGTTTTGTGTTGCTTTCTGGAGAAGAATCGACACCCTTTACTGGAAAAGCTGCAAGAGTGCGGTGTCACACAAAACAAATGTTTCATCATGACATCCACTCACTTCCCCCACCTGCTTCCCTTTGAGACACACACACATTTGATTGTATTTGTTTTCAATAACAGGCAACAGAAGTTGTCAAGAGGCAAGAGAAGCCCCCAAAACTGTCACATCCAACACACACACACACACACACACCATCACCATTAAACACACAAGCAGTGTCCGATGAGTAAGTACTTTAAGACAGCCTACTGACCCATTTCCCATGCCAGCCACACACATAAAGGAAAAACCTTAATTAGATCAAAGTAATCCTTAATTTTCTGAGGACACCCTGTAACACCTCTATCAAAGCTACACATGGTGAATGGGGGTTGGAAGGTGGGATGAGGAAACTTTCCTGACACACACTCCTCTTCTGCTTACTCAAGTTGCCTGACTCACTCACTATTGTTGCTTTATTTCCACCGTCATCTCCATCTCTCCCCCCTGGCGCGTGTTTGTGTTCGTGTGTGTGTATCACTTTAATATTCCTCCATGTTCGTCACTCATAGTAAATGGGCGGCGATTGTTCATTCACTCACACACACACACACACACACACACACACACACACACACACACACACACACACACACACACACACACTCCTATTGAGATCACGGGACAAACGGGGGCGGGGAAGAGCTGAGGCAGCACAGAGCAGGCCAAGAGTGTGCGGAGCGATCTGAAGCTTTAACTTTTTACAACCTCCGACATCAAACGCGGAGACAAAACGCGTCGCTGGTTTCCATGCCAATCGATCTGATTGATCGGAAGTGAACCTTCAAAGACTCCTTTTTTGTTTTCTTCGCGATCCCATGCCAGCACTCTCTGCTCTTCCTGCTCCGGGTCCGTTTATTGCGGGCAATAAAGTGACAAGTAAGCCCCCTTCCCTTTCCAGCCAGCCACAAATTCTCATCAACTTCATGTCCGACGACCAGTGAAACATGGTGGATAGCACTTAAAGTTTGAGGGCGGTGACGCAATAACAGCCACCAATATCAACAACAATGAATTATATCCCAAAAGACTTAACCACGCCCCCAAACCACTCGTTTTTACCCTCGTTTAACCTTCTTTGTTTTGATATGCTTCTCTCATGACTATGCTTCAGTTCGGTTCAAACTATCCAAAGCGCGCGGAGACGCACGGACCAAAAACGATATATATATATATATATATATATATATATATGTGTGTCAGCTGGATGTGTGAAAAGTGAAGAGCTGCCATAACCGAACACAGCTGACTCATGTGGGCTGCTTTATTATCATAGAGTGCTCGGATCAGGATACAAGCATCAGAGTGTGTTTGAAAGGCAAAAAGTCAGTTTAGTTGGCCACTCTGGACTAGTGTTCCCGCTGCGGGTGATAACTGGGCAACACATCACGTTGATCAGACAATACAATGTGGTCAGACTTTAGTGCACCGACTACCCCTGAAAACCCAGACCTCAAGGACAGCCCCAAAACACCGCCCCTCCCCCCAAAGGAGAGGTGATGCAAATCACTTCCTTTCAATCCGGCTCTTTGTATGTGTAAGGATTGACTGGGGGTGATGGGGGTGGCAGCTATCCATTCACTTTATGCGGCTGCCGACCTCAGTGATCCTGCCCACCCCCACTCCTACTCCAGCACAGCCACCCACTCCTACACACACACACAATGGCGTGAGATCTCCTTACACAGGCAATTTTCTCTCCCTGTCCTCCAGCTCTCCCTCCCTTTCCTAGCCATGGGATGATCATGAGTTGAGTTTTCAGGGCAACCATGACAAAAATAGGACCCGGGGTGTCCCAAAGCAATACGAGGATTAGGTCATTTTCACTATTTCATGAATAGATGTATTAGGACAACTTTTTGTAACCTAGCCAGTGTCATTATCAGCCGTTTATATGGGCTGAATACTGCACGGAAACACGCACACAGCAGTGCGCTCAGTTAGTTTCCCCCGGGACAAACCCTTAAAAACTGAAAACATTTTGATTGGGACATTTGCTGCCAAAAGTCCATGAACCTCAAATTCCCATCACAACCAATTTACATAAAACACTCACATCCACGTGCAATGAATGATTAAACATGTCCGGTTAAGATGATCAGTGTTGGATGTGAGGAAAACAATTCGCCGAAGTGAGACGCACACACACGCGTGGGATTAAAGAATCACCTGTGGTTGAGAAAACACAGCGAAATTCCCCCACCTCATCGATTACAGATGATCAACTGCTCCGTTTTAATCAATTACCGTAATTCACTCATTGTCCCGAATGGCACCACAGCCTCTCCTAGTAATCATTAATCAAGCACGTCATGGTAAGACAAATCCAGGCATATTATATTAAAAAAGTTTTTCATGACCACTAACTTCCCCTATTACAAACAAAACAAAGTCGACTGGACTTTTAAATGCTCCCGGTTCTCACAGCAGCCTCATCACTCACCGTTCATTCAAGTCTTTCAAATGGACGCTCCAGAAATAAAATATTTTCCTAATCGATATATGTATCCGGTTCTTTGAGATCCACGGTCGCCTTTACAGTCTTTGTATCCACAAGTTTGGAGCTCCGAGGCTGCAGAGAAATTCCCGACCAGCCGGCTGATCGGAGCAGCTATAGCCCTGTAATCCCTGTTAGTCTCTGTCGCTTCCTCTCGAAACAACCATGAAACTTGAGCCGGCTGACGGCTGTGATGTCCGCGATAGGCTCGTTCTTCTCTATATATTCTTGTTATTATTCCGTATAATGGCTGCCTTTGCCGTGCAGCGACAGCCCCGCTCGCTCCAGTCTGTGTATGTCTCTGCGTCGAGCTCCTTTTTCCCTGTGTCTTCACACACAGAAGCAGCCAGGCAGGGATCGTGTTGCGCTGAGCTCTGTTTTAAAGGGACAGAGTCACGCACAGTCAAACACACGCACGCACAGCGAAACAGGCGCACATACACACACACACTTACGTGACGTCACCGCACGGCCCCGGAATTCCCTGACAGCGCAAACTGGCACTGAGTCCAACTCCCGGTACCGGAGCTGCTCCTGGCTCCTCCTGACAGGTTTATTTGTCGGTTTGTACCTTTACAATGTTATTTCAGTCCAGACTTTTTTTAAGGCTGACTCGTGACCGACTGTTGTACTGGTGAACGGCCAGGAGCATGTTTCCGTGTGACCGTCTATTTTTGGATGAGGAAGAGTATTGACCGCTGACGCCATATTACACTATGATAGAGTGAGGCTATCACAGTGTTAAAATTAGATTTAGAAGATACATTTAGATTTAGAAAATAAATTGTCCAGATATAGGCTTTACAGGATAAATAGGCTATTCTAAAATAAACTCATATAATAGTCTATTTATAGGCTTACTGTATATCGTTATCTGTAATTGTGGGTTAATAGCACACACAGACAATATTGCTGACTGGATAGTTTAACATGTGGATTATAAATATATGTTTACACATTTGAACACGTTTGTTTTTTATATTTTCCCTGATAAATTTTATACCTGCTATATATTTAGTCAACACTCTCTACACAGGCACTTTTAAAGGGTTTATGAGCTGTAACTATTTGCTTAAAGCTGTAACTTTATTAAAAAAAAAAGAATAATCAATTTACTAATGATTTATAGATCAGCTATTAGTCATTTTAAGTGCAACATCTGAATTGCCAGGTTGTGAGAAAATAAATGGAATTTTGCCCTGACCCTCTACAAGCTTTTCCAATCAGTCAAAGGGGTTCTTCACAACCTGCCTGGCCACCCAAAAGTCGTTCTCATAAATAGCTTAAATAACTGTTTGTGGATCATAAATAACTGATCCACAAAACATTAGTAAATCACTAACAAAGCAATTAGTTATAGAAAAACCATTTAGAGTAGTACCTATATTTATTCTAGATGCAGTCTTATACCTATGCTTAGATACTCCCCCGTTTTCTATTGTTGAAATACATACTTGCACTGTATAAATATAACATTTTATGATATATATAATCCACTGTATATATACTATATGGATTTAATATAATGTTTATACAGTCCAGCCTGTGTTAGATAATGTAAAGTGTATAGATAACTGGATGGATAAATAGATGCTCTAGGGTCTGTGAAGGCTGAACAATACAATGTATTATTTATTTTTGCAATACAGTCCACATTGCTCAGCCTATAAATAAAACCTGAGTTATGAGGCTAATAATAATAGTAGGTGACATAAATATGACTGTGAACACAGAAGTAAAAGAATTATATGCTATGTGCTCAGAGGCTGCCAGCTAAGATCCTGTGTGAGGTAAACAAGGCTTTGAAAAACACAAATGGGTCTCTCTAAGGCCGGAAACATTTGTTCCAGCTTTTCCTCGCCAAAGTAACCATCCTGTGCTCTGTAATAACGCCAAAGAGCCACATTGGTACAATCAACTGTATGTGTGTCTCTCTCACACACACACATGTGTAGGGGTTATATTTAGAAAGTACTCCCTCAGCAGGACAACAGAAGGCAAAATTAGCTGGCACAGGGAGGACGGGAGTGTGTCATGGATGATGCTGAGACAATGACATAAGGACACACACGCACACAGACACGCGCACACACAGACACACACACACACAGACACACA